AGTGGGTATTCTGCTGTTAACCTTAAGTTCATTGTTCCCATGTTTGGCTCCACTGCGTATTAAAACTATTGGGTCCACTAAAGAAGCTACTGTTGAAAGGATGACAACAACTAAGGTTTTGGCACTATATAAAGCCTTAAGCCAAGATAATGGTAATGATGCTCTTAAATTTAAAGGATTAAATTAAGGGGAGCATCATTAAAGGGGGGAATTAAAGTGGCACCCCCTTTCTCCACAGAAAAGCCCTCTTCACCATGGCTGATTTTAGACTGTCAGCAAAAAAGTCCAATGTAGATAAACTTCCTATTTTCATGTCACCCTGTTTACTTGGCCACTGACCGAGAAGATACCAGCACTCCAGGTGCTGGACACCCCCTTTCTAGTTTTTCACAAACATATCCAGTATAGTACTTTGAAGAAATGTGCAAACAAGGCCTCTGGCCATGAGCTGGGCTTCACAGAGATGTCTATATTTTTAAGATAAGTTACAAATGGGCCCATAGTAACAGCTGGCAGGGGGGAGGAAAGAAAGGGGAGTTGAAGCTCCCCACTTCTCAGTGTTGTCCTTGAAGAATTAACATGCCCAGAACAGTGAAAGAAAAAGATGCTTTTATGTGAACTTCTGCAGACTGTGAACTTCTGAGCCCCTCCCCTTACATGCTGGGTATAAAACTCTGAAACTCCCTGAACTTGGGGTTCAGGGGATTGATTGATTACAGCAAAGGCTGTACCCTCTATACCTGGCTGCAGCCAAATAAAACTGTTTCCTGCTATCTTCGGTGCCTTGCCTCATTTGTCCCTACAACAGGATGCTTTGAAATTTCTTCCACTGGATTATTTAGTGCATCATCTTTAAATTTGGCCTCAAAATTTAAATCTCAAAACACGAGAAAAATGTAGAAAATTTCTTTGCCAGAATACAAGATGAATGGCCTCTAGTCCAATTTCTAATACAGTCCTTATTTCTTCTGGAAAGCTCATGAGCACAGTCTTTACTGTTTGCATTCCTATCAGCGTTCTGGTCTTCTGAGCTCCCAACAGAATTGACCATCAAGCTTCACTTACAATACTCTAAGGATGAATCTCCAAACTTTCCAAACTCCCTCAGCAAACCAACTCCAAACACTTCTGAATCACAGGGTCAAGGTTAATCACAGCTCCAACCCAACTTCTCAGTACCAGTTTCTGGATTAGTCAGCTTTTCAGTGCTGTGACCAAAATACCTGACAAAAGCCATTTAGAGGACGAAATGTTTATTTTGGCTCATGGTTTCAGAGGTCCATGGCCAGCTGACCTCATTGCTGGGACCTAAGGTGAGATAGTACATCACAGCCGAGGAAAGCTGCTCAGCTCATGGCCAACAGGAAGCAGAGACAACATCCTGTTCTTAAAGTAGAGTTAGGAGTTGGACGAGAGTTTAGCCAGGCTGCATGATTATTATGTGAGTAGTTGGACTTGTCAACAATCACAAGATGATTAAAAATCCTATTGTTTGAACAGCTTCAGCACTCCAAGGAGCAGGACATTTATATCTTCCATATTTGAGTATTGTTTAAAGATTTTGTGTTTCTTTTTTCAAGCTTTTTGAAATAATCAAGGAATGGTTCTCTGGGCTTTGGAGGGACATTGTTGAATCTTTTTCCAATCCACAATGGGAAGACTTGGGAAATAGCCTGAGCTGATTCTTGTGCCCTTTTAGCTCTTGGCTATCTTAATTAATTAATTTTCATTAACATCCTCTATAGATTTGTCCATCTAACCTCAGTGAGCCAGATTTTAGCTTTTAGTTTTCTCACATATACAAGTTGATAAAGATGAGAGTGGCCTGGCTTATAAGTTCAAATAATGAATTTCTTGGCTATCCCTACTGGATCAGGCAACCCTTAATGATGGTCCCCAACTTAGTCTTAGTCCAAGGATTGCACAATGTTGAAGGCCCCTCTTGACATGTGCCAATTCCCATGACAGAGAGATCAAACCTTGTGAGCGGCTGGTGATGACAAGGCAGCAGTGCTGGTGAAGCAGGAAGGGAAGAGAAGAGATGAGGCAAGGCAATGGAGGGAGCAGAGGGTGTAGAGGAAGAAGCAGCGATGGGAGAGTTTTAGTCCAGAGACAGTCTCTGTTGGTTTTTTATGTAGCTCAGTGGTTCAGCCCTTGCCTAGCATGTGGGAGACTCTTGGTTCCATCTCAAGCATCACAGAGAAAAACGTTTTGATTTACCAGTTACAGGGAGGCTATAGGCTGCATTTAGAAGTATCCAAGTACCATTTAAAACAAGTCTCCCGTTCTTTTTTTTTTTTTTTCTTGGTTTTTAAAACTGGATTTTGCCAAATGAGCAAACCAATTTCGGAATTTCAAAAGATCCTGTTTTGGTGATTGGAGGCTTTTTTTTTTAACCATTTCTTTTGTAAAAATTTTTTATTTTTTATGTAATCTTTAAATTTATATATGATAGCAGAATGCATTCAATTCTTTTTACATATATAGAGCACAATTTTTCATATCTCTGGTTGTATACATAGTATATCCACACCAAATCGTATCTTCATACATGTACTTTGGATAGTAATGATTGATTGGAGTTTAGGATCATCCTTAGTCAGATTAGACTACTTTCCAAGGTACCTGAAAGATGAGGCTTCTTAAATGTCATGCATGAGACCAGCTGGGGCACAAATGGAGAGTCCCCAGTAGAGAGACCCAGTGTGGAACATTGGCTTCCTGTAACTTTGGTTCCTGTTCTGGGTCAAGGGTGTTGCTTGTGGGTATGGCTCCCCAAGGAATCACCATGGAGAGCCTAACACCTCTTCATGTGTCACAGGAATCCAACTGCCTATGGTAAGTGTGGTGCTTGAGGTGCTGGGTTAGCAGCCACTACATGCACCTCCTGGAGAGCCGAAAGTTTCCTAAAGATGTTCTTCTGGTGGCAGAACCCACGAGACCACTGCAGGCCACAGACCAACACCTCAACCTTTCCACTGAGGCTCTAGTCATCTAGGACACACTTTTGGTGTGGAAGGGGCAATGTTCCTTTTTGCAGCAGGGCTCATGTGTGGTGATGACAAGGAGCATAGGTTGGTCATTGTCCAGAGACAGGTCTAATGAAACAGATTACTGAAACAATCCTAATTACCTTATCTGTGCACACAAGAACCCCTACTGGCAAGGAAAAAAAAAGCCTTATTTTAGGATTTTAAGTTACCCTAATCCTGGGAAAGGAGGCAATGGCCATCCCCCCAGCAGAGACAGAGACTGAACTTAGTGCCTCATGAGTCTAATGATGATGTAACCACCACTAAAAAATTTTGGAGGCACAGGTTTCATGAGAAATTCACCCCTATAATGTCTCACCCCTCTGGGACCCCATTGCTATAGTTAGGATCCTTGTGTCCCCACAGAGGTCCATGTGCTATTGAGAGGCAATGAAGGATTTAGAGGTGGGGCCTAATGGGAGGTCTCCAGGTCATTGGGGGCGTGCCCTGGAAGGAGGTAGTAGGACTTCCTCTCTTTTGTTTTCTGGCCATGAAGTGGGTGGTTTTGTTCTACCATGCATCCTGCCATGATTGGCTGCCAGAAGCCCATAGCAAAACTTATCATGGAAGGAAACTTTGAAAACGGAGTCCAAGGTGGGCTGCCAAAGTTGAGGGGAAGATTTGCTCCAAGATCTCATCGTGGTTGCAAGCAATGTTACCTTGAAACACAAAATCTTCTACAAGTCAATAAAAGAAGGATTTCCTCTGAGCCAAGAGTGAGAATGGCCATCCGGGAAAACAGTCTAGTTTCCCAGAATAAGTGCTCCAAGATGGCACCTGTGGGGTCTCATATTATAGATCCAAACAACAACAGTAGAACAACACGAGGGCTACAGCAAGTTATTTGTTAAGTCCTTTCAGTCAATAAGAAGAGAATACGTCACTCAACAGCCTGTTTTCACTTATGGTAAACATTCTGGTGGCATAATTCTGGAATCCCAACAACTTCTGAGGCAAGACTTGAGGCAAGTGTGAGCAACTTTGTGAGACTGTCTCAAAAAGAGAAAAAAAAATTCAAAAGGGGCTGGAGATATAGATCAGTGGTAGAGTGCCCCTGGGTTAAAAAAATAGAGAGAGGTAAGTGGGAATATAACCAACTACAGTGGGAATATACATTTGCAGGGAGATTAACTCTGTTATTCTAATTGAGAAGTTACTGTCATGTCCAGCTTTGAATTTGAACTCACTAAAGCCCAAACTGACATCTGAGGAGTGAGCCAGGCCATGGATTTAGACCCACCGGACTGAGGCCTGCCCAGTCCCATCAAGGCCCTGCCCTTGAGAAGCAGGATGGGCAGGAGCTGGGCAGAACTATGCCTGGTCTCAGAGGGAAGAAAAAGTCCTGTGTGCTGAGGGTTCCCCAGGGGCTACCAGAGCCAGGAAGGAAAGTACAGGGAGAGAGGACTGTGACACCATCCTGGGGCTGAGGGATCCCCAGTCAAGGGCTCAGGCTAAAGGCTGTTGGTTCCAAGTGGCAGATTGCACACATTTATCTATGTGCACTCTCCTCTGGAACTCCAAGAAAATGACACATCCAGATGTTTGGAAATGCTCATCTACCAGGACAAAGATGACGTGCGAGTCCGTAACACCCAACAAGAGGAAGCAACCAAATTCTGGATGCTAGGAAGCAGATGGTAAGGGGGACTGGCAAGGGACAGAGGAGGTTGACCCTGGCTGTGAGGAGAACCACTGGGACCCAAGACAGCTTGAAGAACCTCAGAGAGGTTCAGAGGTTGGAGGGACCAGGACCTTGAGGTGCGGGCAGGACTGCAAACTGCTGGTTGGTTATCACTCCAGGAGCAATTGGGCATCTAGGTCCCCTACCCCAGTTGGCACAGACAAGATGAAACCCCTCCCCACCATGGCAGGGACTCCCTGGCTGGAGAGTCTGGAAGGGTAATCTGAGGTGATGTTCACATAGGGCTCAGGACTGGCTGGCACATTCAGCTCCTTAGCACTCAGATGGCCTTTTCTGTTTTGCTCTCTTACTCTTCTCTGGGTCACAAGGAGGCTCAAAGACTTAAGCATGAACAGGTAACATGGAGAGTAGCACCTGGTTTCCTATTAACCAGCCTTCCACTTATCCACACATCCCTCCTCACCCTCTGGGTTACTTAATGTGGCAGAAATGGCTGGTGGCCTTCCAGTATCTATCTACTATTCTCTTCTTTAGTAACAGAGCCTCCCTTTTTATCTGGGTACCTTGCTTTCCGGTCGAAAGACATTTCCCAGTCTCTTTGCAATTATTTGGGCCATGTGATTTCACAAGTAGAAGTTGTAAAGAAATCTAGGGACCTGGAGCTTTCAAAGAGGCATAGCGGCTTCTCTTCTTCTTCCACTCTGCTCTCTGAACAGCAAATGAGATGGCCACTGCTCGGGCAGCCATCTAGACAATGAGGAGAGTGGCTGCACACAGGGATGACAGCAGAGAGATGGAAGGTGCCATCTTCATGGGGTTGCCCTACCAGCCCTGTGTTGCTGTCTCTGGGCTTCTTTAATATGTCAGAGAAATACACTTCTATCTTATTTTTACTACTATCCTTTGGAGGGTTTCTCTTGTGTGCCAGTGATGCTAATCCTATCTGTTATGAGTTGAAATGTGAGTTGAAGGACAATCTCTCTGTTGTTCTCTTTTCATTGAGACATCCTATGAGAATCAGCAGGGACCTTAAGTGTATGGAGTCTACATGTCCAAGGACTATCTGGTGTACAGTTTTTTTTGTTTTGTTTTGGAATTGAACCCAGGGGCACTTAACCACTGAGCCACATCCCCTAGCACTTTTTTTTTTTTTTAATTTGGAGCTAGGGTCTTGCTAGAGAGTTTTCTATGTGTTATCTTATGAACCAGGGATGTCCACAGGTTATTCATGAATTGAGGACATCCATGGCTTACTTATCCCATGAGCTAGCATGAGTATGTGCTATCCCCACTCCCCAGATGAGTAAACCAAGATTTAGAAGGATTTGCTGAAAGCCACAGAGCTGTGAGTGGGGGAGCTGAGGTTCCCGATCATCTGCATTTCATGCCTGTCTGTCAACATTTGAGTTTGCAACCTCTGACCTCCTAACCCTGCTCAGTTTCATAGAGAAAAAACACTAGAGACAAGGAGGAGGAAATATTTACAACCATTGTCTCCTAACAGTGATCCTTTCACTTTCTGAATGTACCCCTCATTGCTCTGAGGCTTATTTTTTAAAAAAAATACTTTTTTCTCTTTTCTCCCCTCTCCCCTAACAAGATTAGGGAGACAAGGTTACCTTTTCCTCCCCTAGTTAACTGCCCTCCCACACACCCACTACAGGAAGCAGATGCCTGCTGGAGATCTGGGAAGTGACTATCTCCCAAATTCACAAATGAATCCAGGGCCAGGGATGTGGCTCAAGTGGTAGCATGCTCGCCTGGCATGCGTGTGGCCTGGGTTTGATCCTCAGCACCACATACAAAGATGTTGTGTCTGCTGAAAACTAAAATATAAATATTAAAAAAATTCTCTCTCTTTCTCACTCTCTAACAAATGAATCCTATCATGCCATTAGGGAGACCTGGGACCCCCTACCACAGCATACCTGGAATGTAACCCTTAAGGTTCCTTTAAAACTCCTCTGTCCCCCCTGATTTGGGACAGGAGTCCCTTATGTTTTTCCTTTGCTAGCAAAGCCATAAACCTTTTTTTCCTTTTTCTCAAAACTGTGTAGTCATTATTAAATCGGCATTGATTGGCATTGGGGACAGGGACAGAGCTTTCAGCTACAGTCATACTGTGTCAAATTGGGGAGCTGGTTCCCTGCTGCACCATGAGCAACTAGAGTGGGTTTCCCCTCTATTGTCAGTGTCTGGAACAGAGCCAGTCTAGGAGACTGTGAGCTGAACAAACAGGGGACCCACCCTCAGCCACATGGAGCCAGAGCAGAGCCACGATGCAAACCCAGGACTCCTGCCTGCCCACGCCTCTTCCTGCCACCAGGCTCCTGTCCAACCTAACCTGCTTTCTTCTGATGCTGACAGAAAACAAGAACACTGGCTGTGACATCTAGCACATTCACACCCAACCCCAGTTGCACTTCTCATCAGCTTTGCCCACTTTGAGCCTTGGTTTTCCCCCAGTGATGGGGCTAATCATGGTGTCCACCTCACAGGGAAGACAAGGTGAAATAATACATGTGATCCCCTCTCAGGGTGACCAGCACATAATAGGTGCTCAATAAATAAAGCTATTGTGATCTTTTGTATGGATGTGTGTGGTAGGCAGGCATGACTGCAGACACCTGGAAATCCTCACCCTTAGGCATCAAATGCCCTCCCTTAACCCAGGCATCAGGAGTCCTGCTGCCCATGAGGGCTTCTGCTGCACCCCAGGACAATGGTCTGAACTACCCACTTACATTCTGCTATTTCTCCAACACACAAATACTCTTCTCTCCACCAGGCCCCAGACTAGGGCAGCAGATCTGGAGAGAAAATTGGCATTGGGGATAGGAACAGATTAGCTATCTTGATTAGACTATCAAGATTAGCCAAGGCCACCTGACTTTTTGATGCAAGGAATGTGATGCCAAGTCTCTTGGGAAGGGAACAAGAGTCTTCCTCAGGAAAGGTGCCTCCACTCCCAGGGATTGCTGGGAGTGCTGAACTACATTTCCCAGGCTCCCTTGCAACTCTGCATGACCAGGTGCCCAAGCTGTGGTGGGCTGGAGTGAAACCTAATGCTTCCAAGTCTGGGTCTCCCCAAGCCCTCATACTCTCTCCCCCTTGACTGCATGGAATAAAGATCACAGGCAAGGTGACCTTGAGCAATAGGCTGCAGGCTCAGCCTGAGGTCCCAGAAGGTAGAGAGGACACGGCCTCCCACCCAGAATTGTTACTGGAGCAAGAACTCTATGTGCATCATGTGGGGGTTATTTGTAATATTCTCTGTGCTACAGGAGCTAGGGTTACCCTCACTAATGTATCTTCCTTGAAAGTAAAAAAAAAATATTTTCATGTAGCTTTTCCCCTTGACACCTTTAACAGTTACATTTGCTGTCTTGGTACTGTGTTACCAAAGCTATCCTTGCAACTGAGTTCTTGGTTTCTCTAGAGAGAACTCCTGACTAGTTTTCTGGTGTTCTTGTATTCTTTCACACTGGGATTCATTATTTCTGTTTTGTTTTTGTTTTGCTTTGTTTTGTTCTGTCAAAGTGAGCCAGATCTCAGACTAGATTTTTCAGGAAGGCTATGTGAGTTAGAATTCCTTCATGTATGAGAACATAGCTCTGATGCCTTCTTAGATCAACTCATGCCGTGTGCATAACATATCTGGGGAAGGTGCCTGTCTCCATCTCTCCTCCAGCTGTCTGTGGACATGTGCCCTCTGTGGGTGACGTAACTCAGTAACTCAGGGTCAGCTTGTCTCACCCAGGGTCCTGGTAGGAGCCAGGTGATGCACTACAACAGAAAAAAAAAAAAAAAAGGTCAGTGTCCTACCCAGAGGCTCTTGTGCCCTTGGCATCACTGCTACATGGCAATGGCTACTTACTGCTAATGTCTCAGCCTCAATATCTATCTATCTATCTATCTATCTATCTATCTATCTATCTATCTATCATCTATCTCTCCCCTCAGGTGTTAACCAGCTGTGGGAGTGAGCTTAGCTGGTTATGCTGATCTCACTGAAAGTGCCAGGATGTTAGTGTCCTGGAAGCAGTCCTGGAAATACAGAACAGGCCTGGGGGTGGAGCTCAAGGGTGGAGCCCTTGCCCAATATGTGGAGGTCCTGGGTTCAATCCCCAGCACTACACACAGCAAATACCAGAGTGGGTGGATAAGCCCGCAGCTTCCGGGCCCCTCAGTTGGGGTAACTCAGACACATTGTCCATCATCTCCCAGACTGACTGGGGCCTTGAGCTCCAGAGCAGAGGTAGTAACCTGCCCACACTGGCTTCCTCCACTCCCTGTCTTATTCCTGCTCTATCCCTCCTGTTTGTCCTGGGATTTCTTCCCAGGAAAACCATTTGCACTCCAAACTATTTCAGTCTCTGCTTCTGGGGAAATCCTACTCCAGAGAACTGAGTTTAGGGAAAGAACAGGTCATAGAGTAACTGGGGGCTGGTAAAGAAAGGAAGAAAGAAAGAAACAAACTTTACCCTTGGAGAAAGGACAGGAGGGGACCTGGAGAGGGAGGGGACTGTATGGAGAGGAAGGCCTGCCATCAGCCAGAGCCATGACCACCCCCATGACTGCAGGGAGGGAGAGAGAATAAACACCTGGCTTCTGCCTCCCTCTCGCCCAATCTGCCTGTGCCCATCATTGACCAAATAAAACCAGAAGCCAGAGGCAAGGGGGCCTGTGGTGTTACCCACAGTGCAAGGCTGGGGGCACAGAGCTGCGGCAAAAGGTAGAGTGCGCCTGGAGGACACCCAGGGGGACCTCAGCACACAGACTCTGCTTTCCTGGGTATCTAGTCTGCCCAGAAAGCAGAATTCCAGTAGCCTAGGATCTGGGAAAAGGGTTTTTCCAGGTTTTAGGATGAAATTGCCCCCCTCACCCCCAACATTCTAGTTCAAAAGAACAACCCTCTCACTAGCTATCACAATTGTGTAGGCCAGGAGTTGGGGCTGGGCTCGGCTGGGTACTTCTATTCTTCATGGTATTGACTAAAGTCAGGCTTCCAGCTGACCTGGAGGGTCCAGCATGGCATCAGGAACATATCCAACTTCCGGGTGGGCTTGACTTAAGGGCAGGGCTCAGCAGGTCTGTGAACTGGAGTGGCTGAATGTGGGCTCTCTAGCAAGATGACGGTCCCTTCTAGTAGCTCAGGACTCCTAGAAAGAATGTAAAATGGAATTAATAATCCCAGTGGAATTAAAGACTTCTTATGACCTAGACTCCATGTTCAGGGATATTGCTTCTGCCATGTTGTATCAGACGGTGAGTCACTCGAGCCAGCCAAGGTGCCAGAGGAAGGAAATTAGACTCAACCTCGCACTGAGGGGAACAGCAAAGAACTCCCTTTAACTAACTGCAAGTCATCCAGGTTGACCAGGGTTTTAGGAACATGCCAGGAAGCTGTGGGACTGATTTTGGAGAGATACTTGAATGTCACGACAGGATGAGGAGATGATGATTAGGTGGAGATTCTAGAGTTAAATTCAAATTCAAATCCCAGTTCTGCATTCTACTTACAATGTATGAGCTAGGCATGTTGTTCCATCTGACTCAGTGTCCTTACCTGTATAATGAAAACAGTTCCTGCTTTGAAGGGCATCTGGACAGATTAAATGGGATGGTTTGGATAAAGGACTTCCTAGGGTAGCTGGGGCCAAGGGCATTATCAGCATGGCAGCATAAATATTTATCCTGAATTATACCGAGAGATCTTCACAAAGTGACTCTGGAGCTTTGATAATATATAGAAAGGATTACTTTAGACCCTCTCTGTCATTCCCATATACAATCCAGCCCCAGGTCCAGCTAATTTTCTTTCTTCTTCTTCTTTTTTTATACAGAAGATTGAACTCAGGGGCACTGGACCACTGAGCCACACCCCCAGCCCTATTTTGTATTTTATTTAAAGGCAGGGTCTCACTGAGTTGCTTAGCACCTCACTTTTGCCGAGGCTGGCTTTGAACTCCCTATATTCCTGCCTCAGCCTCCCCAGGTGCTGAAATTATAGGCCTGCGCCACCAAGTTTGGCCCAGGCCCAGCTAATTTTGCTTGAATATATGTAGCTTGAAGTCTCCCGTCTTCCCTACTGTTACCACCATCTTCCACCCAGACCACAGCTGTTGCTCCTTTCTGGTCTTGGACTCTTAACTCCAACAATGAATTCTTCCCTTCATGTGCTGTGGACTCAGAATGCCTGGGGGACCTTGTTAAAATACACATTTTGATAGTGGCTCCATAGATTTAGAATGGGGTCTGAGAATGTCCATTTCTTTTTCTTTTTTTCCCCAGTACTGGGGATTGAACCCAGGAGCACTCTACCACTGAGTTGTATCCAACCCCTTTTTATTTGTTTATTTTGAGACAGGATCTAAGTTGCTGAAGCTGGCCTTCACCTTGCAATCCTCCTGCATCAGCCTTCCCATGCATTAACTATGCCTGACTCTGAGAGTGTCCCTATCTACCCAGCTCCCCTGGGATGGTGGTGCTGATGGTTCCCAGGCCACACTTTGAGCAGCTGGAGAATCCCCCCCCCCCCAAATAAAAGCTTGATCCTGGCTTGCAAACACTTAAAACCCTTCATGGATTCCCTAGCACTCTCGAGGGAAAGACGAAACCTCACTGTTTCCCACAGGCCCCACATGATCTATTTTGCACCTGACTCTGTAGTCCTTACCCTCCCACACTCTTTCCCCCTTATTTATGAATTCGTTAATTTATTTATCTATCATTTTGAAGCAAAACCAGCATCCCACCCCAGACTGGAACACTACCAATAACTTGAGCAGCCCTTTGTGCTCCACTCCTGAGATAGTGTTCTTCTAATATTTATCTTTCCTTTGCTTTATATTTTTCCTTACTGATGGGTGTATCTAAATATGCATATTTTGGGTTTTGCTCTTAAATTGCACCATAGTGTGTGTAGTTTTCGGGATTTTTTTTTTTTAAACTCACATTATCTATCAGTAGATGTCTGTTTTTCCTCTTGCTTTTGTTTTGTTTTTTAAACAGGGATTTGCCTAGACTAGCCTCCAACTTGCAATCCTCCTGCCTCAGACTCCAGACTCACTGGAGTCATAGGTGAGCTCAACCACACCCAGCTACCAGATGCCCCTGGTGGGGTCTGTGGCTGAAATACATTCAGTTTCACTGCTGTAAAGGAGGCCACGGTGTGGATATTTCAGTTGATTTGCTCATCCTCCTGTGAATGGGCCTTAGGGTGCCTCCATTACAGCCAGTGAGGGTGTGAACGTTTGGTACAGGTCTCTGTCTGGGCAGGTTTCTCCGGGTAATTGCTCAGACTTACTGTGTCCTGGTCCCCTGGGGTCTCCAGCCACCCTGGGTTTTCTTTCATCCCCGACGCCCTGGAGGCTTCTCCACCGTGACCCCTCCATTGGAGCTCTCTAATCACACAGTTCTGTCCAGAGATTCTGCAGCGAGCTTGGATCTAGCACGTAGACCCAAGCCTCCAAGGCTTCCGAAGCTCACCGGTCCCCTCACCCCACCGACCCCCCCAACCTGGCCGCCTCTAGCTGTGGCCTGCACACAGTAGGCGCCCAGGCAGCAGCGGAAGTGTGGATTATTGTTGGAGGCGCCGGGAAGGAGGCAGAGCCCGGCTAGGCGGCTGCCACCGAGCCCACAGGTGGCTCTGCAGGAGTTTTCGGGTCGGTGACAGCCCACCAGAACGCGGGGTCCGGAATACCAGGAAATGCGCGGGCGCGGCGGCGGTGAGGCAGGGGCTCCGGGGAGGAGCGGGGCAGGGTGGGGCGGGGCCTGGGAGCGGGCGGGGCCTGGGAGCGGGCGGGGCCTGGCCCGGTAAAGAGCAGCGTGGCGGGCAGCGGCTGTGAGGGCCACGGGGAAGGGGACCTGCCACTGAGCCAGAGGAAACCCACCGGCCTTCGGCGGAAGGAGCAGCACCGGGACTCACGCTTGGCACCATGACCCAGAGGCCCACCTTCGACAAGCCCAAAGTGAGCGCGGGCCGGGGCTCCGGGTTCGGGTCTGGCTCCCGATCTGTCCCGGGGTTTAGGGGGCCCAGCCGCAGGCGTGCTCACCCCACAAGCACCCCGGAGCTCTTGCGGGAGCTTTCTTTCCTAGGATCAAGTCTCGGCTCGCCTCCGGGTGTTCAATGGGCGGCAATGAGGCAGGGAGCGTCCAGGACCCGCGGGCGTCCCTGGCCCGCCTGCGGTTCTGCTTCTGCCCCTGACCTGTTCTCAGCCTCCCCGTCTGCCAAATGCGCGTCTCGCGTCTCAGCACTGAGCAGCAGTGTGAACGTAGGCAGGGGCTTGGCGTCTCTGAATCTCAGCGTTATCGAAGTCCTGAGGTCTATGTCTATAGGCATCTAGCTTTGAGCCAGGGCGCACTGAGGATCAAAGCAGCAGTGAACTTTATAATGGCTTTCCCCGCGCCAAGGAGCCCAGGTTTGTGGATGCCCCCCATGGGATGAACCCTGAGCCAAGCCAGGAAGGGGAGGGAAGCGATCACGGCACGCCCCTTCCTAAGCTGGGGCCAAGGGACTGAGGAACCTGGGCTTCCAGCCACAGTAGGATTCACTGGGGCCAGGACAGGGCCCCTGGCCCCAAGGGAGAGCCCCTGGTCTCTCCGCCCACCAGCTGTGGAGTCTTTGTGGAGTCTTGGGAACAGCGGGGAGTCAGGGTGGGTCCAAGTCCACTTGGCTTGCTTTGCAGCCCTACAGATTCTGTATGGGGAGGGGCGGGTCCCAGGAGTCCACCAAGTCCTGCGAATCAGCCAATAGGGTGTTGAGACTGAGAGGCCTGGGGACCTAGTCAACTGCAGCTGGTCTCAACTTATCCAAGAGAGGACAGCGGATGTCACAAAAATTTTAGTGAGAATCATGGGGGACAGGGGGAGGAGATAGGAGCAGGCAGGCCTGGACCCCATTATTGATGCCCCCACCACAGAGAAAATGCTCCACTACACCCTGTCAGAAGTAAGGAGTGTCGGGACAGCCCTACTGCCCCAACCCAGGCCTCCATAGCGTCTTTTTTAGAAGCCCCTGCCCATCATTGCTGCTCATCAGTGCATTTTGCCTTTGAAGGCATTTATTTTTAATTTTTAAAATGTTTATGCTTTAGATTCCTTCTACTCTTGGGCTGCAAACCCCCTACCCTGATGTGAATCTAAGGGAATAATGGTGAAGCACCTCCATTGGGTGTGAGGTGGAAATTATGGAGCCAATAACAAGTGACACTTCTATAGTGTTTGGTATGTGCACCAATTTTGTATCAGTCCTATAGGGAGGCCTCATACTGTGGTTCAAGTTCTGGGTCTCATCCAGTCTCCTCATCTGATTCCTACTGACAGGTCATTTCTTCCCTCTGAGCCTCAGTTTCCACATCTGGGGAATAGGGCACCATTTCCTTGCATGGGTGTCTGGATGCTTGAGAGTAAAGATGGCATGTCACCTGCCATGTTTGATATATGACAGATCTTGTGTCATTGAGCTGGCAAGAGGGCAGGGAAGGAGCTGCTGTGACTGGGCCTTCGGGTGATCAGATAATAAGTATGACCACTCGTTATCACAGGAGACACTTACCGAGGGCTGGTTTTTCTGTGCCAAGCACCAGCCTAAACACAGTAACTACAAGAATTTATTGGATACTGGCAATGACCCTGTGAAGCAGCCAGACTCATCCCCATTTAGAGATGAAGAACAGGCACAGAGAACTTAACTAGGCCCGAGTTCAAAGCAGCTGAGTTGAGATTTGAGACCAGGGAAGGTGGCTTTGAAATTCTGTGTGCCTAACCACCTCTCCTGAGCTCTGTTTGTGGGAGCCTTGGGGATGGGGATGATGGTATCTAGGTGCAGACATCTGGGAGAGGGGCATTTGCTGGGTTCTTTAGCTTCTCAAACCTGTCACTCTCTGGGGCCCAGGACCTGGCCAGCTTTAGGAGAGCAGCATGGGTGATACTTTTCAAACTTCATGTGCACCCAAATCAACTGGCTTTGAGTGTTTGCATATTTGGACTCTTGTTGGGACGTCTGCCTCTGGTCTACAGACACCTGTAAGAAGCAAGGCCCTCGGATGTGGCTATCCCATTTGATAATCATTCCAACAAATGCTTCCCAAGAACTTTCTGGGCACTGGAGAAGGAGGCGAGGGTGTAGATGTATGTCCCTTATCACTCTTTGTTCCCAGGAAGCAGGGCTAGAAAATCCTGTGGTCCTCAGGTGTTATTTGTCCTGGAGGGCAGGCCTGACCACACACCATTTCTGTAATTATAACAATGGCTGTCCTGTGAGTGGCCTTGGGTACCCTCTGGCAATTTTTCCTCAGAATTCTGGATGACCAACAAGGCAGATGTCTTCATCCCCATTTATAGATGAAGAAACTGAGACCTATAGAGGTGAGGGAACTTGCCAAGGCTACACAAAATCTGAGCACCTTGAAGCTATAGACTGGCATGAAGCGCCCAGGCTGCGGAGGGGCTATGCTATCTCTTCCCCATGCAGAGGGATTGGGACTACCTGAAGCACCAGTGTGCTTTTTCTTTCACACACTTAAGTATCTACTCAGTATCAGGCACAGTTCTAACTGCTTTGCATATGTTAACTCATTACATGCTCACATAGCCTTACATATGAGGAAACTGACTCAGAGAGGGGAGGAACTTGCCAAAGTCACACAGCCAGAAAGCAGCAAAGCTAGATTTGAACCCAGATGGACCTAAAACTCAAGTGAATGCTATTAACTGTTTTCTGTTTTGCTACATTGTCATCCCCACTTTGTAGGTGGGGGGGGAGGGGGGGTGGAAGGAGGAAGGAGGGTGTGGGCAGAGAAATTAGAACCAGGGTGGCAACTTGGCCTTGCACTTGAGATACACCAGGGTTGAATACCTGCCTCACCATTACATCCTCAGATAGGCAAGTCCTGAATCTCAGCTACTTCTTCCATAAAGTGGATTGAAAAACACCAATGTCTTTCTGGGCTTGGGAGCACATACCTGTAATCTAGGTTTAGGAGGCTGAGGCAGGAGGAACATAAGTTTGAGGCCAGCCTGGGCAAATTAGTTGATCCCCAGTACCAAAAACCAAAACCAAAACAACAACAACAACAAAAGCAAACAAACAAAAAATCCAAAACACAATGTCCTGGGGTTCTTGGGGAAAACTGACGTGCCGGTGTGTCTTCTACAGTGATTGGCAGGCCCTCGGGTGTGTGTGTCCTAGCTGTAGGGTCTTTGGAAAGCCTCCTCACCCACAGAATGGCACTCCTTTGTGTCCCTGTGACAAAGCCTCTGATTGCTCTTGTCTTGGTTCTCAGTGCCTTTCAGTAACCAGAGCCACCTGTCAGAACAAAAAGGCCACCAGGACAGCCTGCCTACTTTGGGGATGGTTGCTGGGAGGAGAATGAAGGAGACTGGGTTTCATTAAAGCCTTTTGTTTGACAGAAAAGGACAAGGACTGGAGAGGGGAATTGACCCGTGGGTACATAGGGAGACAAGGAGGCCAGCCAGCCTCATGATTCCACCTCCAACCTCAGCATGGTGTGGTGGGGGAAGCTGGGAGGACTTGTCCTCCCGCCCAGGCATTCTGAGATGATTTCTATCTTGCCCCTCTCAGGATGCTTGGGTGGGAGGACAAGTCGGGGAAGGTGACAGTATGGTCTGACCTTGGACTATAGTGGTATGGGGGAGCCTAAGGTGAAGTTTGATGGTCCTGAGAGAGGTTCTCCCTTACCCCTAAGTGCACCAAGGTCCCAGAGCAGCTGTGGGGGCAGATAGCCACTGTGGTTTTGGTGCCTATAATCTGGCTTTAGGAGCTGAGGGAGGTAGAAGAGCTGAGGATTTGATCTTGAGCCCTAGACAGGGCCTGGGTTGCCCAGGTCTGAGTCCTGATCTCCCATTTATTAGCGAGGGAATTTGAATAAGCTACTTCACCGTGCCTCCGTTTTCCCCGTAAGATGGGAATTTTACCCACATGCATCTCACAAACCTCAAGCCTGGGCTCAGCATGGACGCCAGGGCTAGCTGCTGTTGATTAGTGAGCAGCAGCAGCAGCTGCAGCCTAGTTGTGAGTCGTGCTGCTTGACTTTCCCATGGTATACCCAGCCCTGGCCTCGCAGGGTGCGGGGGGCTTGTTGCAGCAGTGAAAACTTTTGGATTTAGGTTCAAAACAATTTCTGGCCGTGGTATCCATTAGTCTCTGACACTCATCAGTCTTATGTTGATCTCTCTGAGGCTCAGTCTGGTCACCGAAAAAGTGGGAGTAACTGGGTCATTTCTAGGCTGTGGCCCCACATAGTTTCCCTTAAGCAGAAAGCACATCTTGCCATCTGGGAAACCTCTGGGGAGGCTCACGGCAGCAACAGAGAGCTCAGCCAGGCTGCAAGGGACTGCTCGGCCAGCACCTTCTACTCTGTATCTAGCAGCTGCAGAAGCCCAAAGTGGGCTGAGCATGAAGGGCTTCCTGGAGGAGGCAGGGCTGAAACTGTGTGTGGACCCAGGGCTGCTGTCTCCTGAACTGCCCTCCCCCCAAAAAAAAAAATTCAGTTGAGAGACCATGGGGGCATGAGGCACTGACCCCTGGCACCACCCAGCTTGTTGTCAAGAGCAGAGTTGGGAAGGAAGGGCTCATAGCTGGCAGTTGGCACCTGGGGCTCATCTGTGTTCTGGCTGCAGTGCTGAGGCCCCCAGGGCTGGTCAGGCCCTGACTGGATTCTTTACCAGGCCCAAGGTGGGAAGTCAGTCCCTTTCTTACAGCAGAGAGAGGACCCAGCATT